GGGGGGTATTATGCATTTTCCAGGCACATAGTTTAATTAATTCTACTCCACAATTAAGTATAGATGTTGTATATATCAAATATAAAGTATAAAAATTAATTTGACTTTGTAAATGCATCATATCTAAATGCCTTGAAATTGGCCTCTGTCTCTTTATGAACCTCCTACCGTTTCTGACACTCCCACTTCAGCACGTCCTCACAATGCTTCATGCCGTTTACAACTTTTTGTAGGAGCGTTGTGCTTTGTTTTAAAAAAAAAAACGACGCAACATTATATAATATCGGTTTTGGAAAATGGCTACTCAGGATACAGTTGAACGCTACTCGAATGATCCCGTCCCGTCGGACCCAGAAAGTATGTTTTCTGAAGAATCGAAGCGAGTACAGAGACTTTTACAAGATGTTTCAGCTTGGTAACATATCTCACAGTCATCCTCTTATGCATTAATGTCAATGTTGAGCTATTTTTTGCAAAGAAACTATAAATATAGATCATTGTGAACATATATTTTGCAATGAAATTATAGTGATTTGTAAAGAAATATTTCTCCCTCTGCTATTCTGGTGGAGCTGTGTGGGGAAGGTGCAGGGGAGGGGTGCTCTGAGCTCAGCTGTGGACTGATCTCCAGGGAGGAGCTTTGTGTAAATAGGCGGTGCTTTGTACCAGCAAGCGTTTAGGCAGCTCCACATGGGTACCACAGGAGATTCAAGGATTTCTCAAACATGCATGAATGAGTCAAAGCAACACTCTGGGTATGTTTTTGATGAGGGAATATAATGATACAAAGTTCCAAAAAAAGTTGGTTTTGCATAATAACTCCTTTAAATAATAAAATGACTACTGAATTGACTTAACTCCATTTTATTTAGAATTCAAAACAAAATACATCAAACATGTCAAAAATGAACATAAAACAATGAAAAATGTACACTAAAATAGTGACAAATTAGAAAAACAAATCAAAGTACAAKCTCAGTCAGGAAAGATTTTTTTCTTTAAATGTTGATAAAGTTGTAGTCAGAAACAGCATTTCTAACAAAACAGATTATGTTACAAAGAGGTAGGCTGCTCTTTAAATCAAACTGTTTTTCTGGGAATACYTGAACCTTTCCAAATGTGATTCTTGTTGTTTGTTTCCTTTAACTTCATTTCTGACAGCCAATTCAATTAGGCTGAATAAGTGTGGGTATAAAAAACAGGCAACTTGACAAACTGAGAAGATGGATGGCAACCTTTGCTTCACCATTATAATCACAAGTGCGTCACACTGGAGCTCAATCTATCGCCATTTTACCCACTGCGACAAAATAAAAGCAACGGCAGACCGGGTCGTAACGAACCACCTTCTACCTTTCAGCAGCTGTTTAAAACAGCTGCTTATGTTCAGGTGTCAGTGATAAACACCACATCTTGCTTTATTCACAGCAAGATTTAACAGCAAGTAAAACTAAATAAATCTCAAGACAATATTAGAAGATTTCAAACTTATTTATTTAWTTTTTAATCTAAAGAWAAAGCAGTGACTCATCAGCCACGCAGCCTTAATGGCTCTCTGAGGGTGTGTGTAGTCTGGTCGAACCTTTGTCGGAGTCGCCCGGCGCCTCGGAGGAGCTGACCTGTGAGTAGATGAAGGAGTAGAGGCTGACATCGGGGCGCTGAGTGAGGCTGCTCCTGCACACCGAGCTGTAGTACTGCCCCAGGAGATCATACACCTCCCCTGAGACACAGACAAGGAGACTGTGTGCATCATCTTCTTATTATAAACGGCCTAATACCCAAGGACTATAAATACTGTGRGTTTTCAGGATCAGAATAAGTAACTACATAATTATTTTGTAGAATATGATATTATTTAAAAGGACGTAGTATAATCGTAATGTTGGTAAAGCTTTTTACATAAATGCGTATCTTCCATCATCTTTCATGCAAGAGTTTTATCTTATAGTGAGTGAGGACAAAAAAAAAGCTAATTCAGACAAACCTTGTGTTATGCTGGAGATGTCACTTGAGCAGTTAGGGTTTGCAGTACTATGTGGTGAGGATGACGCTCAGCTACTGCCGAACTAAGTTTTAGCTCAATAGCTATGTTTACATGTGCACAATTCTTTGATCGAATTGAAATACATTCAAATTAGATAATCTGAAAGTATAGTTTATATGGACATAAAATAAATCCGATCATGCACCAGGCTTTTATTCAGAATAGAAGTACTGACGTGCAGAGTTGTAAACTTTCCCTAAAAAAACCACAAAAGAAGTTCTACTTCCGTAATGAACATAAACAAAGGTCGAGTGTCTCCTGAGCACCCAGAATTGACCTGCACCAGGTTTTAATAGCGTTGGAGATGTTACTGCTTTCCATGTTCCTACACTTTCGACTTTCAAGGTGTTCATTTTGAGCGCTTTCAAAGTTAGTAAACTTAATTTTGTGTCGCTAACTGACCGGTTTTGGTTCCCTGACATATTTTGTCCAAAGGTGGAAATATGAAAGGTTGACAAAGTGAGCATATGTTGTCAGTCAAGTCAGTTTTCCACAAGCAGAATAACATGAACAGAATAAGTGTTTATGTGCACGCCATTCAGATTATCAGTCAGCATAAATCACCCCTCTCATTGGGATCACAAATTCATTCAAATTCAATTCAATTTCAATTCAAAAATAATTTATTGATCTCAGAGGGAAATTAGGTGTTGGTGTAACTCATTTAACTAAAGAATTATTGTAGAAGCTGATGGCTGTGGGCAGGAAAGATCCAATCCAGCTCAATCAGATCAGAATATTCTGATTGGGGCATTTACGTTACACATCTTTGTTCTGATTATTTACATCCATTTAAACATGGCTACTATCCTTTAAAACTGACAGAGTTAAAAATCATAATTGTGTTGACTGAGATAAATTAGCTGTGGTGGCTATTTTGAATAAGACTGACTCCAAACGTTAATAAGTTGTAGATGTACACTCAGTGATTACTTTGAGAGTTTCATTAAACTCTGTCATGTAGTTCATGAAACATTTTGCTATCACTACAGACAAACACACAAATGTAAAAAAAAAAAAAAAAGTTGAGTAGGTCCGCTGGATAAGTTATTTGTTGAAACAAAACTGGTTGTTCACACGCAAAGAGGACCATCAGCCTAACTACCGATCATTWTAGGCTGATGGTTCTCTTTTGCATGAGAACAATTTTCGATTGTTACTGTTAAACTTATTGATCCACTATGTGAAAGTACTGCTTATAAGGCTGAGTTTACCTGCAGCTCTTCAGATTGAACAAGTCTCATGGAGAAGAGATGAAAAACAAGAAGAACTCATCCAGAGGACCTACTCAACTTTTTTTGTCGATTTTTCTACCTAAATTATTGAAATGCATCAGGACAAACAGACACAAACAGACAAAACATTACCACTTTTGCGAGCAGACAATAAAACCCCAAGAGGCATGCAGGATGTCTGTTCACCCTTACCAACACTGACGTTCCTCTGAGTGAGGAAAGAGTGCATTTTGTGGACATCTGTCATGAGCCGACTGTCACCAAAGGTGAAATAAGCTACGTCTCGGCCCGCCTCAGCAGCTGCCAGCATCTGGATCAGAGCTAGACGAAAACAAGACCGTTAAGCCTCAAAAGTGAGAGTGACAGAATTTGCTTGATTATTACATAAACTAACCTAAACTTTTTCATAATAATGTTAGCAAAGTTTGGAAATTCACCACAATGTAATTGCAAGTAATAAAAAAGTGCTTTTGTATTTTTGTTTCAAGTACTATTGCATAAATAAAGGTTTGAAAAGTCAAAATGCTGCGGATGTTTCCWTTAAAATTAAGCTGCAACAGCCTCTGGAGCCTGTACAGTAAAAGGTAAGTAATCAGGGGAATAGGTCTCACCCCCACTGAGAACTCTGGATCAGATACAAAGCAAAGCCGGGACTGGTCCCGGAAAGCAGTGAATATTTTAAGAGACTGGATTCTGCAAATATGTCTGCTGATTAATTAAAGTTGAGGGAAACTGCCAAMGCAACAAGCAAAACTGAAGGAACTTTTTCTGAAGTAGGCTGAGCAGAATTACCTTTCAGTAATGCCTCTGCTCTACTTCAGCTGTTTTCCTCAAAAGTTATTTAACAGAAAACTAGTTGCCCTAATGAAGGACAGCTTCTAAMCTGGCAATCTCTTCCCCACAGGTACAGTATGTCATTAAGTACACAGTAGTTGATTCTGCCAATTAAAAGGCTGTACTTCACTTTGGTTAACTAACAGACATATAATGATGAATGTTCAGAATTTGGGGTRAATACGGCAGAGTATAGCCGTATTTACCCCAGCTAGAAGAATTCTCCTGAAGCTCCCTGTTCAGCAGCACTGACACAAACGCAGAGCTGCAACAGATTGATGGACTCGGGCCGACGATCAATTCCACTATTAATGTAAGATATTAACTTTGTCATTTGATCAATAGGAGGAAGGTAAAAGAAATAGGCCTTAAGTAAATGAACGTATTCCSAGAAGACAAATGGATGCCCGTATGAATCTGCAGGAGCTTTTCAATGTGAAATGTATTCCATCCAGTAAAAYGAGTCCAATTAGACATCCAAACTCACAGGGATGAGCTCAGCGTTTTTCTCCACAAAATCTACTGACGTCAATGTTACGCCAGTGCTTACCTTTSAGACGTGTGTCACCTCCAAAAACACCACAGCCCCAGTTCCCTGTTGCCACGGCTGCAAGGTTCTGACTTTCCTTCTCAGGCTGGGCGAAGCCACAGTAAGCCTAAATGAAAAACACACGAAATGAAAATAAAAACAAACTTTGTTGTGATCCATAACAAATACTTCAGAAGAAACCGTCTATCTGTAATGAAGAAATTGTAGTTTTTGATATGTGGGTGAGTAATTTAAACAGTGTAGTAGCAAGAGACAAAAAGCAAAAAAACAAGAATGTGMCTTTTTTATTTCTGTTCCATATGTGACATTATTCAGCTCAAGTCCACATAAATTGGCTTGAGACTGAAATTGGATTGATCTTTGATCAGTAGAATGGTGCCATTTTCGGACCAGGAATAAACGTTTATCTTTTAAAGCCCTGTCACACTGTAATATTTTAGATAATGTATGCCAAATTATGAAATTTGTTTTATGTCTAGATTAGGGATGCACCGATATGAAAATTTCAGCCGATATCGATATCTGATATAATTATTGCTGTTATGGCCGATAACCAATATTTACTACTAAAACAATATCGGTATATGTATATTATATTATACACATACACACAAGCACACTTGGGTCTGTTTCTACTGTATACTGTAAATAAACAACCATACCTCTGACATGGCTCTGCTTCAGTTATTCCTGGCCGTGCAGCATCAATATCACTATCGTTATCAAATGGATGCCACTCAATCAACCATTTCCCCTCCCAAAACAGAAACACAAAGCTAAAAAGWGGGAAATCAAAATCGGATGTTAATATCGGCCCAGTTTTACATATCGGACCGATACCGATATTCTAAAAAAATGACCAATATCGGCCGATACCGATATGAATACCGATAATAATTTTAGGCTTTGGGACGGTTAGTTTTTGTGCATTTTCTACACTTTCTGAAATTATGACAACGGATTCTGCTCCATCTCATCAATAACTGACGCGAGGCGGTACCCGACGCGTCAAAATCGAACACAGAGGGAACCTTGGAAAAGTGTYAATATGTGACRACWTSGGAGTGAGAATGGGTTGAAATAYCACTAAAYAGCYARAATATTGTCCAGTTTATTTGTTAACATCKTTGCTTTCACTGAATGYAAAATGTAMTGATACAAATCCAAGCATAACTCATTGCTAATTATGTATTTTTGYTAGTGTCACCCATCCCCACCCCGCTTCACTCGCAGGTGGCACTCCAACAAATTGAGCAGTGGTCCTCTGGGAGCAGGAGAAGATGTCTGCTAAATCTTCAGTATAACAATTTGGCTACATAAATCATAAAGAATATATTTGTAAAACAGCATCCAGAAGAAAGCATAGAGCGACTTGTAAATTCTGCAGTGCTTCACTTTCAGAGATGTACAGGGACAACGTTAAACCTTTAATGTCACTAACGCTAGCTAACATTAGCAATCTGCCTCTGTAGCAAAATTCTTTACTCAGCAATACACAGAGATTTTGTCAATACTAGCTCTATATATTAAGTTAGTTACATGTTTACAGAATACTCTCTTTTAAAGGTCCTGTCACACTACAACCTATGCCAACTTTTGAACAATTTAAAAACATCTACATTGAAGATAGAATTGAAAAAATCAACAGGAAGCTTCTTTTTGGTGTGTACATAATGTAATTCAAACAAATTGATCAAATATATWACTTTTATTAGCAATTTAGACATAAAAATTGTTTCAAAAGTTGGCATAAGTTGTCTGGAGTGACAGGGCCTTCAGGGAACTAGTTTTTTTGTTTTGTTTTTCTGGTCTTGTCTCGGTCTCGATACAGCGTGGTCTTGACTACAACATAGATGTCTTTAAAGTTGGCATAAGTTGTCTAAAATGTTATAGTGTGACAGGGCCGTTACAATTATGTGTCAGGGTGGCAGAGTGGTTAGAACCATCGCCTCACAKTGAGAAGRTTGCAGGTTCRCCTCCCAGCTTTTCTGTGTGTAGTTTGCATGTTCTCTCCATGTGAGTGTGGGGTTTTTCCAGGTACCCCAGTTTTCTCCCACAAACCAAAAATATGCATGTTAGGTTCAGTGGTAACTCTAAACTGTCCCTAGGTGTGACAGTGTGAATGGATTGTCTTCCTGTGTCCTTGTGATGGACTTACGATAGGCACCAGCTGCTCCAGCTAGATGAACAGTATGTATTAAAAACTGAAAACCCACACAAGTGAGCTAGAGCATTAGACGTTAACGAGGAAAGCTCAAGAAGGGCTGTGACCATTTATTTTCACATTAAAATAAAATGTAAATGGATTATAAGAGCCTAGCTTCCCTCTGACCAGTCATAAATTCTTCCTGTGAAAGAGCAGCTGTGACATTTCACTGAACTATATTTGAAATGGGATTGATCTTTGAGTTTGTGCATTCTTCACACTGTTGTCAGAGCTGTCAAACTCGTCTTTGCCTTTTGACAGCAGACCTGACAACATCAACATCTTGATTTTCCATTACGAGCAGGCTTAACTCTGCCACAAAGGTTAGACGTAAGCTTTTTATTCTTTATTATGTTTATAGATATAGAAGCACTGTTTTGTATAATAGCATCACAAATTTATATTTAATTTAGTTAAATATATTTTCTAAGAAAAAACAGGCTCGTATTTGTTCTTTGTCATCTTCATCTCAAAGTTAAGCAAAACTGAAACAAAAAATATTATTTTACTCATTTAGACCTGCAGAAAAAAACTGTAAAGTAGAACACAACTGTCTTAAGCAAGCTAAAAACTAACAAGGCAATAATAAATTTTACCTTATTAAGTTCTCGATTGATTTTGCTTGGCTGGAACTGTTCGAGGAAGCTCCTGAACTTTAGAGCATCGATGGCCACGATCTCAGTGCACCTTCGCTGCCAGCCGTCTCTGGGGAAAAACAAAGATGTGTACATTTAGTGCACATCTTCTATCAAAACATGCTAACAGATAGTCATCAGGTGATATATTTACTTAGAAATGTTCGTAAACCAGTCAAGGGAYAGAATTTTCACTTCCTAATACTGGTATTAATGGCTCATATACATTTTTTCTTACAGCACAAACAAGTAACCAATCTATACATTGTAAGACATTGATAAACAAGTCAACCACAAGTTCGCAGTGAATAAATGTTTATAAGCATGTCATTAAGGCTTATCCTCTGGGACTTTAAATGTGAGTACATATCTTGGCAATCCAAAATGAAACGTTTTAATRAAAAAACGTTTATGTGCTTTTACAGTTTTTTAAGTTAAGAGTTTTCCACATGAAAGGAAGTTAGAGATACAAACCTTGGAGTTGTGTCCTGGTGGCTGCCACTCCACCTGTAGGTCTCATTATAACCTTTGTATCTGCTGTACTGCTGCGTTCCTAACAAACAGCAACATCTATTCAGCTASATTACAAAACAAGCAACAACAACATAAAGATGATCATTACTTTTGAATATAATCAAAACTGAAAACTTCCAGTTGTGTTGATAATAAACCACTGAGAAGCAGACCAGATTGCACTGCATTAATAAGCATATTGATTTTTGTTTGATGTGTAATAAAAACCACGACATCATCCAACTTCAACAGAGAATCAGTAAGATAGTGGTATGCATTCAAGCATACATAAAAAGTTTAAAAAACTGAAAAAGTCCTTTTCAGACACCAATCGATGGATTTATTAAACGTCCGGTACGTGAAATGCTTGTGGACCAGTAGAAGAACAATTAATGTAAACCACTGAAAGACCGGCAGCTGCCTGATGAGAGAAAATTCACGTGGTTACTCTTCACGCTTTGAAACAAACCAGCAGCAAGCGACCACCAGCCTGCAGGGAAACACTTCACACCCATAAAATGAGACTAAAAGAGGCCACAAATTAAGTTGCCATTAATTAGTGCTCGTTTGTACCTGACTGCTGGGGGGGGGGTTTCATGCTGCAAAGTGAATAACCCAGGTGATTAGAGGGCTTTGAGCACATGAGCACAGGATCTGTAGAGCTCACTTTGTTCAACCTGATTGTTCYCAAAATTAACTAATTTCTCTCATTCTGAAAAATAAAGATACTCATTTTAGTAGATAATGTAGTTAATAATTGGGGGCGGCTGTGGTGTAGTGATAGAGCAGTCGGCTTTGGGACCCACAAGTCACAGGCTCGACTCCCCGCCATTCCCACATGCCATTTGTGTCCTTGGGCAAGACACCTCACCCCTAATGCCTCTGATGTGCATCCCATCAGTGTGTGAATGTGATTGGCACTGATTAGTCTCCATAGATGATTGTACATGTTAGCTTTGTAGAGACCTTATAGAGTGCTGTGTGAATGGGTGAATGAGGACACAGATTGTAGTGTGAAGCGCTTTGAGTGTCCTGGATGGATAGAAAAGCGCTATATAAGTACAGTCCATTTACCATTTAATAAAACCAAATATGATAAAGCAGAAACAGCTCTACAAAAACGCCACTCATGAACACAAACCTTTGTCAAAAATGTCAAGGAAATGTCTGTTAAATACAATTTCATAAGGAATCCAAAAAATTGTAATTATTTATTGTCTATTATAACAAAATCCAATTAATCAAAACCAGAAAAAAACTTTAACATGACATTTATTGGTTCTTTTATTGGGTCCAACCATTTTTTGCATCTGAAAGTATGTTTCAAGAAGAAAATTAATTATGCTTTTGAGATTTATGCAACCCAAAAATGCCCTTTAAAAGTTATTTACAGAGCAAAGATGATCAAACCCGACTTGACAAAGAGCCAAGTGGTTGTTAGTTATTCCTAAATAGACAATAAATTCAGTAGATCTGAACAAAAATCTCCTAAAGGTTGTTTCATTCATGTGCAAAAACATGGAAATAAAAAGTCTCTCTTTTGTGGCTATCCAGTCACTGAATGTCAGGAGTGTCTCATCGCATTATCAATGGAAGGCAAGTTGTTGTTTTAATTAAAAATCCAACTCGTTGGTCTACCCATGAGCAAACAAAATGTTTTATATTAGAAGTATAAAACAATAAAATATATTTGCCAATCCTAAAAATCGCTGAAATCAATGTACAAGAATTCTGTAAAATAATAACAAACCCTACTGTAACGCTTCCAGCCTTTGTACATTAGGCGTGCACATTCCCCGGTCAATACGGCCATCAGTGAGTCACATGACTTCTCCTTGATACTATTTATAAATCTGACCGCCACAATGGCAGCCAGATATCTAGCAATCAAGAGAAACTTAATTAGCCAGAGCACTTGTGCAACTTTCAGTGCAGAGGTACAATCCATTAGATTCTGTACGGTATGCCAAGACCTCTCAGAGGAGAAATGTGATTTACCGCATGGCCACAACGCAGCTATGGCTTGGACTTTTACAAGAGGGGACAAGAGATACAGGCTGTGTTTAATAAAGATGATGGAATGGAAGAGTCCATTAGTGGAGCAGGTCTTGGGCTGGTCTTCCATCTATAATTAATTCTAGGCTCAAGTAATAAAGTTAAGTGGAGGCACGGGAAAGATGGCCGGCAAGACGTCTGAAGGTGACTCTGTAGAACCAGGAAATGCAGTACGACTGGAGATAGGACACTGTCTGTGATTCCTCATTTCATGTTTTATTTTAGCACGTTTTACGCCGTTCTTTCATTTTTAATATTAAGTTTAAATGAAGGACGTACATTTTTTAAACTTCTTTTTTCCACTTAAAATCAAAACCATGTTTCTCCCTTTTCTTTTGAGATCTGGATTAAGTAAAACACAAACCTTAAGGAAACTTAAGGGGTTTGTGTAAGGAAACTTAAGAAAAATAGATGTTTTTACATAAACTCACGATATAATCCTAAACTCCCAGGATGACAACTAGAAATGTGTTAGTTTTGTTTTTAACTAGCTATTGCCAGTTCTGATTGCTGAGGTTCTTCATCAAACCCAATCAACCTGCTACAACAGTTAAGACAAGACATATAAAAATAGTGGAGGAAAAACAGAAGGGTGCCATCAACCTCCTGCTGGGACCCCTCAAGTCTAGCTCTTGTTACCGGGTGTCTACTGGCTGCTGGCAGTCTTGTTTGTTGTAAACATTAAATTGTGAAGCACAGGCAGCAAGAATTACTCAACAGAAAGACCCAGCAGAGTAATCAAGACAGCCAAGTCTTCATCTTCAACTCTGACTCTAACAGCCAATCAAAAGGAGACACTGTCAAGGACAGACAGAGGAAACAGAGTAATTGCCATAAGCATTTTTCAGCTTCTTGCTGAGTCAGAATAGGTTAAGGTAAAGTTGTGCAAAAGTGGCATCATGTTTTGTTTGACCAGAAAGATGTGGGAAAAAGTGTCAACCTAAATGTTGTAGATCTGATTCAGATCAAAAGATTAAATCGTGACTAAATAAACAGTAAATTTCATTGGATGAAAATGATTATTTGGGAAGGTAAGGGGTAGTTTGTCATCACTGACCTGTGATAACTAGACATTCATTATCATCCAGGGCTTCCGTGAAGAGACGAGACACAATTAGCTCGGGATTAATGAGAAAACGGATTTCCTCTTGAACAAGACCAGAACCGATGACCCCTCCTCCGACAAACTTGTTGGCAAAATCCACCTAAAAGATAAAACATTTGTTTGATGAGAAAAAAAAATCATAAAGCAAGAACATTTATGTAGCATCTGCACATTTTCTGTTGTATCCACATCTAAGTGACACTTACTGGGGCTGGAACAGCTTCTCAAACTTAGGAAACAGGTGCACACCTCATAAAATGGTCTCTGGCCTTTTTCTTTTTATTTGTGACAGAATGTGTGACAAGCTGATTGGGAAGGTGGCCTGAGGTGCTGGCATTACTCAGGCACTCTGTCCACAATGCCAACATGAGCTCTGAGCGCTCTCTGGAAGCGGTGTTTATGCATGCAGCTGCCAGCAGCAAATACCAAAGCAAAAAAGAAGAGTGTAGTTTTATAGCCCAAACATTTACCTGCTGCAAAAATCTTCTAATTGGGGCTCATTTTTAATTGTGCGATACACAAAAAAAAATGCACTTTTCAAAAGGAACATATCTTACATTTTTAGAGTTGACAATTGTTGCTCAACGGCCTGAAGGCAGTCCAGACCAAATCTTTGACAACCCCAGGAAAACACTACCAGACAGTGAGCAATTTGAGGGCAGATTTCTTCCATACTGGTTACCCAACACTGGGACAATGAGCCAGACTCTAAAGTCCGCTTTGACAAGCTGTCAGAGGCTCACCCCCACCCCCACCCCGGCAGAGCATCCATCAATCGGAGCTACAGCAAGCCCCCTGGAGCTGGTCATGTGCGCACATCAGCTGTCAGTTCGTGGCGACTCGAGGCAAACAAAAGGTGAAAGTCGGAGGGGGCCGTGCTGACAGAGTACAGGAAGCTCGTCCGACACGGGGAGCAAAGGAGACCCAGAGGCCCCGACCCCAGTCCCAGCACAAACTCCCTCTGACGTGTCACGGCCTCCCTACAGGCCTTTTCAGCAACGGTAAGCATTCTGGGTGGAAGAATTCAGAATGAGGAGGCACGCCTTCCTTTATGCAAAAATAACTCCCTGCAAATTCAATTCACACTTAAAATTTACACTCCTTCTGCGTCTTACCTGAAGCATTCCATAACCGTCATGCTCAATGGTTCCTTTACACGTGATGTGGAGCTTCGTGAGCAAAGTCTTGGAGCTGAAACACAACAAAATAATAATTTTCACTCGAGTCACTATGAATAAGATCACAATCTCCAACTGCTAACAACAAAATCTATTGATTTAATACGTTGTGGCTCTCTTGGATGCTCCCTTCTGAAGGGGTCACCAACAAACTTCTTTACAAAATTAATAACAGCATCAGACCTTCTCCAGTTGGGCGGTTTGTCCAGTTTTCGTCGGCTGAATGTCACAAGTCCAGTCGGCACTGCAAAGCAGAAATGTCTCACTTTTATATGAAATGATAGAAAAGGAAATCTGCGCTGTGTTTTTGCCTGAAAATATTAATATGACCACTTACTCTGTTGAGTGACACTTCTAAAATAGCTCATCAGGGTTTTCAGCTTTTCCATTTTCTTTGAATTGGAYCCCTTAAACAATCTGAATGCAAAAACAATCCGATTTAATGAGTTTATTTATTGTTTATATTTGAAATAATGTGTTTTTTTCTTTCAAATCTAAAAAAAAACACTTTTAAACACATGCAAGTTTGCATCYTAACCTAACACCAACTCCACAAACTAAATCCCGAACTAGCAACAAAAACAGCTCCCTGCAGAAYCAGCGCTTTACGGACACACAACCTCCATTTTAGCCATGTGAGTTCAGTCATGCTTTAACTTTTGATATGAATCAGTACATCTCTCACTCAGCTTCCTTTTCAGCCACTAGCCGATTATGTAGAAGCTCCCTTGCTGTTACGACAGCGTATTTGCCCCCGGGCTGGCCATCACAGGGCAACACTCTTGCGATGGCCCAGCACTCATACAAAAAAAAGGGAAGAGGGGGAATCATTAGAAAGCCCAGTGTCCCTTTTAAGCAGCAGTGTCCTCAGGAGGCAAAAAAATCCAAGTACCCATGCTTGCATATAAAGCTGCTGGCACAGATTTGAATGCACCTTGAGCATTAAGCCCACCATTTCCTTCTTATGGCTCCATAAAGAGCCACACAGCTCACCTCACATGTTACAGTAAAAAGAAAAGAACATTTATGGAAAGGAAATGAATTAATGACAAAAGCTTGGTGCACTGAGAGCCCTTCGAGGGCCGGGGGAAACTCTTTCACTCAAGCCATCTCAGAGCTCTCATTTCTCTTTTTGTTGTCAATGTGGCCCCAAGAAACAGTCCTGCCTCTTGTAATCCTCAGGGGAAGAGAGGTCTCTGACATAAGCTCACCGTGAGCGAGAGCAGCCTTGTGGTCACAAAATGTAATATTTATTTTGAAGAACAGAGAATTTAATACAATTATAAAACAACTTGTAATATGTCTCTTACAAATATAGGGAAAGCTGCAAGTTCATGTGGCTGTGTTTGGTGTAAGAGTTGGGTACAGTGTCATTGAAACAGGCTAAATAATTCCATTAAAAATAAAGGGAAGAAACACATATTTTAACTAAAGAATGTGAATAAGCTGCATTTTGAGACTCACGTTTTGAACTGTTTAACAGCCTCTGCTAAAAAAAAAGCCATTGGCATTTTCTATTGTCAAAAGCAGCCAGCAGTCAGTGTTTATCCAATTTCCTCTTCCATTTAGGTAATTACATTGTGATTCCAGCAGATATCAGGGACATGACTGAGCAGACATGCAGACAGATTTTACWTTGCATCACCATTACTAATAACCTTTACAGGAAAGATTTGCAGGGGGCATAAAGATTACATTGCAATTTGCCAGTGGCGATGCTTTTATTAAACCTATAAAGAGAAAAATGTGGAAAAAAATCATAATTGCTAGAGCAAAATGACACCATAAAGGAATGGTGTCCAAAAGAGTTAAAGAGTTAGAACATCAGCATTAAACAGGAATTTTAAAATGGTGCTCTTCTGACTCGTTCTGATAGCAATCTGATATTTATTCTGCATATTCTCAGCACTAAAACTGCCCTGCTGCATCAATGAGCACAAAGGACACACCTCACAACTTTGGCTTCCAGCTTGGTAACATCTCGCCAGAATAACAATTCGCTTTTATAGTCCTGCAATTAACTTTACAGCCCTGCGCCAACAATGAAACAACAAGATATTTTCAAAGTTTGCTGTTTACTTTCAGAAAGTTAAAAAATAAAAAAATTTTAATTGACAATAGGGCAAATGCTTTGAGGAGAACCAAGACATTATTGAGAAACAAAGAAAAAGAAAAACAAGTAGGAGACCGAACAGGAAGAAGCGTCAAACTGTTTTTTATTTTTCTGAAAAACCTAAGAGGGAAAATACAGTGGGGAAAATAAGTATTTAGTCAGTCGCCAATTGTGCAAATTCTCCCACTTAAAAAGATGAGAGAGGCCTGTAATTGACATCATAGGTAGACCTCAACTATGAGAGACAAAATGTGAAAAAAAATTTGAGAACATCATTTTGTCTGATTTTTAAATATTTTTTTTTGCAAATAATGGTGGGAAATAAGTATTTGGTCACCTACAAACAAGCAAGATTTCCGGCTGTCACAAACCTGTAACTTCTTTTTTAAGAGGCTCCTCTTTCCCCCACTCATTACCTGTATTAATGGCACCTGTTTGAAGTCATTAAYAGTATAAAAGACACCTGCCCACAACCTCAAACAGTCACACTCCAAACTCCACTATGGTGAAGACGAAAGAGCTGTCGGAGGACACCAGAARCCGAATTGTAGACCTGCACCAGGCTGGGAAGACTGAATCTGCAATAGGCAAGCAGCTTGGTGTGAAGAAATCTACTGTGGGAGCGATAATCAGAAAATGGAAGACATACAAGACCACTACTAATCTCCCTCGATCTGGGGCTCCACGCAAGATCTCAGCCCGTGGGGTCAAAATGATCACAAGAACGGTGAGGAAAAATCCCAGAACCACAAGGGGGGATCTAGTGAATGACCTGCAGAAAGCTGGGACCAATGTTACAAAGGCCACCATCAGCAACACACTACGACGCCAGGGACTCAGATCTTGCAGTGCCAGACGTGTCCCCCTGCTTAAGCCAGTCCATATCCAGGCACGTCTGAAGTTTGCTAGAGAGCATTTGGATGTTCCAGAAGAGTATTGGGAGAATGTCATATGGTCAGATGAAACCAAAGTAGAACTATTTGGTAAAAACACAACTCGTCGTGTTTGGAGGAAAGTGAATGCGGAGTTGCATCCAAAGAACACCATACYAACTGTGAAGCATGGGGGTGGCAACATCATGCTTTGGGGCTGTTTCTCTGCAAAGGGACCAGGACGACTGGTCCGTGTACATGAAAGAATGAATGGGGCCATGTATTGTGAGATTTTGGGTGCAAACCTCCTTCCATCAGCAAGGGCAATGAAGATGAAACGTGGCTGGGTCTTTCAGCATGACAATGATCCCAAGCACACTGCCAGGGCAACAAAGGAGTGGCTTCGTAAGAAACATTTCAAAGTCCTGGAGTGGCCTAGCCAGTCTCCTGATCTCAACCCCATCGAAAACCTTTGGAGGGAGTTGAAAGTCCGTGTTGCCCGCCGACAGCCCCAAAACATCACTGCTCTAGAGGAGATCTGCATGGAGGAATGGGMCAACATACCAGCAACAGTGTGTGYCAACCTTGTGAAGACTTGCAGAAAACGTTTGACCTCTGTCATTGCCAACAAAGGATGTACAACAAAGTATTGAGATGAACTTTTGTTATTGACCAAATACTTATTTTCCACCATTATTTGCCAAAAAATTATTTAAAAGTCAGACAAAAWGATTTTCTCAAATTTTTTTTCACATTTTGTTTCTCATAGTTGAGGTCTACCTATGGTGTCAATTACAGGCCTCTCTCATCTTTTTAAGTGGGAGAACTTGCACAATTGGTGACTGACTAAATACTTATTTTCCCCACTGTATGATGACTGATTATAAAGCCACTAAGAAATATGGAATTCATAGTCAAACGGCACACTCCATTGTATATGTATAACACTATTTCCATCCAAATGCACCATTATATGCGCTTCCTTACGCCACTCTTTATCAATGGTGCCACATATCTTAGGAAACGCACATTTAAACAGCATCTAGATCAGGGATGGGCAACTTGAAAAAGAATTGTGGAAAGGGCCACAATTTTTTGTTGACACTTTGAGGGCGCCACATATCAATGCACACTTACCCAAATATAACAAAACTGCCATTTTAAACATATTTATGTATATACGCTTATTAAACCAACATATAGTACAGTAATTTAACATATGCTCGAATGCATATATAACAGTTGTACTCTTGTTTTATAAAAATGAATACAAAATGTTTAAAGCAAACAAAAAGTAAACACTGAAGTGCAACAGTATAAGACGCCATGAGTGCAGACTCCTGCGTGGTTCTGGTAAAACGATGTTTATGTACTTGTAACTTCAGTGAACTTCTCATATTTAGCTTTGTGCAACGTGTGGTGACTTACGCTATATTAAAATCCTTCACGGCAGAAAGCGTCTCTAAGCAGACTAAACACACAGGTTTGCCTTGAAATTATGTGAACAGATACCTCGCAAAATAAAGAGCTACTTTGAGTGCTTTTTATAAGTAAAGATTTTGGGGTTTCTTTTGATGGGTGAGGGCTGGGCCAGACAGAAGTCACCCATGCGTCAAATACGGCCCGCGGGCCACCAGTTGCCTATCCCTGATCTAGTTAATCCCTGTCATAATACAATATTTATCATTGGAGCTGCAAAAAATGAAAGAATTTTCATTGTAAATAAAAATGAGAAGTCCTCTTCTTGTTTGCTACCCTTCAATACAGTCGACGTTTTTTTAAAGTGTCTGGATGCATTTGCTGTCACCTTCAGCATGACAACAAATCAACGTGTATGTTGAAGAGCAGGGCTCACAGATTTGTTTTTGCAACAGTGTCATTGCATCTCACAGCTAGTGAAAGGGAGCATGCACGCAGTAAATAAATCAAAATAACCACCAGAATGATACAAACAGGATATAACCTGAGTAAAGGTTGTATGATTTAACGTCCAGACTGAGGATAAACTAACTAGTAAAAAAAGTATATACAGTAGTGCCCCATCATGGAGATGGAGCTAGTTGTCCCTGCAGCATAATTTATACCTTGAATAGTGAGTCAGAGTCCCCCCCGTCCACACGTTACCTGAAAAAGTTGATGTCTGGGTAGTTGCAGTGCTCAGTCTCTCTTCTTGGAGGGAAGGTGCAAAAGAAGGCGTTGRCAAGCAGACAAGCCACCTGCTCCTGAGACATGGTGATGGAGTGGCTCATGCCTCTTTTCAGAAGGGGTATAGGCTGGAGGAGAAATGACGGTACGGACGAAGAAGGGCAAAATCATTTGTTTTGCTAATTTAACAAACAAGACAACAAAGAAACTTGCAATGATGGAATCATTTAGAACTGTTGAGTCCTACGAGCGAGCGATAATAAAGGACGAAACATGCTTGTTTATATGAGATATAATGCAGATCACAGGCTTACAATTAAAGGCAATAAGCAATAAGTAAAGCACATTTTGGTCACATTATTGCCAAGTAAATAAAAACACTACTAGATGAGTCAAACTCAGAAATCTTGATAATCTTGATAATTTGTCATAAAAAACATTCTTGGAAAAAAATATGGAAAAAAAATTTTTTTTTCAGCAATTGTAAAGCATTGGACACAGAGTCTGATCATTTTTCTAAACTTGTAAAAAAAATTGTTACCTTCAGAAATAGAGAATATAGTTTGTATGTATCCATCTATGATCCTCTGGAAGCATTTTATTTCTGTGAGCCAGTTGAATTAAACTAAAAACGTGAAAATAAACGAACAGATGCAAAATCTAAATTTTATAAATAAATAAACACTTGGCCAAATTAAGACACCAGAAAACGTTTTAATGAGACGATTGATTGGCTGCTAAAACACGCTGGCCGTCAACCTCTTAATTGGAAACAACCAGACGACTCGGAGAACTGATCGTGTGTCTCGACCTCGACCACAAAGCAAATCTCAAGATTATGTGTTGTGTTGTGACTTCTGGGTATGACACAGTGATCTACTGGTGGTCCATTAGCGAGTTACTGGAGTTACCTTGGTGCAGAGCTCGGATGCTCGCAGCGCTAATTGCGCCATGTCTGGCAGCAGAGAGTCAAACAGATGCTCGGCAGCATCAGGCTCCAGGACCTTGGAGAGAGCAGAAAATCTGTTGATGTTTGTCGTTTTAGCCATAAAACTCAGCGTTATTAGTCCTTCAGGCTGATTACTTTAAGATGTTCATAGAACTGGTTTGAACTCGATCAGAATTTTGTTAGATTCATTAATAACATAAAGTTAAATTTTTAAAAACACAGTTTATCAAAGGGCCATTACACTGTGTAAACATATCTGACAGAAACAATGACTAACTTCTCCTATATTAGAGATTTTAAAAGTTATCGGAAATCTTACTTTCCTAATTTGGTTTTATTTATTTGAATAGTTCCAAATATTAAAGCTACAAACCTGCAAATCGTGACTCCACTTTCATCAGACAACAAATATTATAAACTACCTATTTTCACACCCAGCAGCTCCAAAATGTCACAATGATCAATCATGGAGAAATATTATCAAGGTTGCACCGGCAAGCAAAAAAAACTGATTAAACAGCTTTCCAAAAAGAGATGCAAATGACCAAGTGTTTGAAATAAAACGGAGCGTGTGTGCCCAGGACAAGAAGACATTTATATTATGGCAAAGGAAGCCTGACTAAACACTGTTGTAAGTAATGGCCTGGCTGACATCATAAACAGCTCCTAAGGGCGTAATAAATGAAGCCAGTGGACGTGGTCGGAACAGCAGAGATAGCTGAGGTAATAAAGGCCAAGCTGTGTAAATCAGCAGCAGACAGTTAACTATCTGTACATCTTAATATGAGTCTGCACATCACACCAGACTGACAAAGCAATCAAGCAGGAGTGAATCCAGAGCCACAGACCCCAGGAAATGTCCAAATTCTGACTTTAAATAAAGTAAAGCTCCCACAATAATTTAACACATCGTGTTCCTGTTCAGATCCTGTCGGGTCTGAGCCGTGAAGCAGTCGGCCTGAGACAAACCAAACGGTGTAAATATGAATCATTTTTTGTGCTCGTAAGTTAAAAAAAAAAGCATTGGTTGAGCTACAAAAGAAAAAATAAAACCGATGCTGTCCATCAACAGCTATTCAGTTATTCATGAGGAATACGCGCGGAGATGAATATTCAATGAGGGCGCCCGGCCCGTCACTCCGTGCCACTCATGTGTATTTTTCTCTGACATTCAAAATCATTTCGCCTCAATACGGCACAGGAGATGAGGAGACGTAAAGTGAAAAAAAGGAGTGCATTTCATTGCACTGTTACCGTCATTTGACTTTCTCTAAAACACTACACCCGACAAACTATTCTGATTTGCCTTTTTTTTTTTTTTTTTGATATATCATGTAAATATGAAAGAAGCGTTTCTGCAAATCGCTTTATTGGTTCTTCGAAGTACTTAGAAAATCTAATTTCATCATTCAGTACAAGCAAGCCTGTGGCTACAACCTGCTTCTACGTCGAGGCTTTTTTCTGATGGAATTCCCGTTAAAACATATTTTACGACATGCAGAACACGAGGCACACAGACTGACGGTACATGATTGGATTCAAGTATTTCCTGCAACGTAATACTTGTAATGTCAGCAATTTCTATTCCTGACAAGCTAGTAAACATGACCTTTTGTTTAAAGATCCAATTATTTTTTTCAAAACTTCTACTATAAAAAGGTAAATTGATTTTATGGCAGGTTTGACACCCTGCAGAACTTAACAAAAAAAAACTTTCTGATAGTGAGAAGATCCTAAGATTATATGGCTGACAAGTGGAAGCTGCAAGAGTTGATAAAATTAAATACAATGCTGGATGATAGCAGATATAAAAACTGAAGCAGTCACCGAGGCAATTCTAAAATATTAAGTTTTGTTTAATATGTTGTTTACAATGTTATCTGCTTTGTAAAGAAGTGTTAAAATTTGATGTTCAGTTGGAATGAGACTAATCTTGTAATATGTTAATATGTACTATATATTTGCTTATATTTATCTGTAAAAAGAAATAAGTATTTTTATCTAGAATCATCAGGATTCACTATAATAAATAAAAAAAATGATAATAGTGCATACCTTAGTGCAATACCAATCCAACGCTATGAAGTCCCCGCTTTCTGCTTGTGGCGCACAATATTTCAGTATGGCATTCTGCTAGAACAAAGTATAAATAGTTCAAAGCAAATGATCCTAAAATGTTTCTCAATCAAAATTCTGAATCAAATTATATGAAACTCTCAAAATTATTTGTATTGCCAGGCAATGTGCCTTTTCGTTTGTTAACCTTTGGCGCCATCTTGTGGCGAAGACAGTAACAACAACTACTGCAGCTAGTTATTTCCAATGGATGATAGACTTCAGGTACTTCAATTTTCTAACTAAAAAATGTGTTGCATGGACGAACAAAAACTGATATAATTAAACAGATTTTACACATTTCTAAAAATAAAATAAAATAAAATAAAATAAAAAAGCCCAGAAACACAGATCCAAAGAAAAACTTGCCTTTAGCTCATCTGCACTTTTATATTTCTTGGTTAAAGTTTCCTTGATCTGTTCCCAGCGTTGCTTTTGTTGCAGGTTCTGCAGCTCCTGTGGAAAAACAATAATGAGCCTCAGAGGAGTGAACCAAGTTAAAAGTGACGACTTAAAACAAGCTTTATTAAACATCAAAGGCTTTACGACAAGTAAAACTTGACACGTTTCTGTTTCTTTAGTCAGACAATCCGTAACTGACAATGTTTTTTTGTACTTAAAAGGTATATAAACCTCTGAAAAATTACCTCATCGTTGACAGGAAACACGTTTCTGCTCGAGCAGGGCATCCTGACGTGGATATTATCCCAGGTATCCATGAATTTAGACGGATATGGAACAGGAACTTTACAGCTCTGAAGAAGGTCTGTCTGTCAGCAGGTTATAAACATTTAGTGTTACAACATGTTTGTGTGCACAATATAAGCAAACTGTTACAAACAAAAATGAAAAAAATATCGAAAACAATATTTTATACGTGTGAAGCTGCAAAATTAGAACGTTTGTTGAAATTAATGCTTTTTGAAACAAAAGATATAAGTTCTCTAACCCGTATCAGAACGGTGTGCTGGCTAGGATCGTCCCTCAATGGAAGAATGGTTCCACCACATTCTGGCATTCTCTTTAGCTCACTGATCGGTGTTCCCAACCAGCTGACATCTGCAGGCGTTGTTTTCTTGTCTCGATCTCCTTCCTCTGAAGACGTACCCGGACAGCCCCTTTTCACAGGTAAACTCTGGGATGAGCCTCCTGAGAAGAAGTCTGTTATTTTGGATCTTTTTTTGGCAGAGCCCTCGGTCACCTGTTTCTCAAACTCATTTTCATCCCGCGAGTCTCTCTGTGTAAATCCACTTCCTGTAGAATCCTTTGAAGCTGGGCTTTGAGCAAAGTCTTGCGGCGTTAACAGTTGTGTATCTTCATCCACGTCTGACACGGACGACTTCTCTGTGTTTTTACGGTTTAAAGACGAGGCTGAACTGCTCTGAAAGCCGTCCGTCACTCCCGCATCTTTCCGGCTTGGGCACTCTTCTGTTGTGTTTGGACCTTTTGAAGGCTTGACCAGCCACTGATCAAGAGTATTTCTGATCTTCTGCTGTGGTCCAACGCCGGTTTTTTTAAACAAATCTTTTTTCTTTTCGTCCAGCGAACCGTCTTCTTCTTTTTTTGTTCGAAGATCCATCTCTGGCTTGTTTTCCCTTTGCACTTGAGATATTTTATTACCTGTGTTGTGAATACGTAAAGATCCACCTGAAGGAACAGAAATAGTTTTATGAATATGCTGTCACGCACTTTGTTGAGGCGATCAATATCTGACCAAAATACCTCTGTGAAAAGATGCAAGTGTGGCTGGAATATTTGTTTCAACTTTTTGCCTCTTTGCTGATGGCTCAAAGTCTGTCAGTGCACTCATTCTGCACAACAAGCAGAAAATAAATTAAGACAGGTTTATATTAAACAAAACAAGGTCGGGCTTTAGGTAGAAAGATGTGTACTCACAGCACAGCTTGAGCAGAACCCAAAAACAAAACGTTGTTTGATTTGGTCCACGCTTGATGCCTTGCCAGTTCTTTTCTCAGTAAGGAAGCAAGTTTTAAAATACGCCATGATGAAGCCATGTATGACACATTCCGACTGAAACAGAGACGTTTTTACACTGTAGACTGCAAATAAGTGATATTCTGTTTTAAGTGTTTATTTTACCTCCTCCCCGTGACAGGTTGCTAGACCATTATCAAGCGACTAACTATGCTAACTGCCTACTAGCTTCAATGCTAACGAGATTTTCGCAACACAAATGGCTGTTGAGCCAAGGTTCGTACCCGGAAGTAATCCGTACCCAATTTCTCGGGAGCGCGCACAACAAAGCGTATCAACAAAACTACGCATCACGTTTAATGTGCGGTTTTTTTTTGTTTTTTTTTTTCTTGTGTGTGTCACGGCAACTTAATACGTTCAGGTTTGGGGGAGAAAGGCTCGTCATCATGCCGGATATTAATTCCTGTGATTGTCAACAAAATTGCTCTATTTAATTAAAGTAAAGGGGAAACAGTAAGCAAATTTCTAAAGCAATATTAGCCACAGCTGCGACCCGCATAATCAACACTGCGCGTTCCCGAGAATATGGGCATAGATCTTTCGGGGCTACTTACCTCGGCGCAACACCGGTCGGTAAAACTCAAGCAAAAATAATACAAGTCATACTGTCGCAAACATCTTTGGAAATTTCTATATATTTGTAAATTAAAAGATATTTAAATCACGCCATTAAAAACGAATTTGGTTGGGTTTCTATTGCCAATTTTTTTTCTCGCCAGAACGTCGCAGGCATATGACGTCACCACTACTGAAACAACGCGATAATTGACCGAGCAATTAAAAAAACTACCAACAATTAAATGTTAAATTTAACTAAATTTAAGGCCCGGCAATTAATGTAAAAACAAACATATGTTTTGTAAATATTTTAACAATTTTATTTATATGATAAATGAACGAGGACGTGACCAAATTTTACAACTTGGTTGATAAGGTAAAGGTAGAACTTCAGTCTTCAACGTTTAACCTTTATCGAAACAACATAAATGCATTGTTTGCGTGTTGGGTTTGTCTTTAGTTACCTCACCAGTCTTAGCCACGCCCACCACACCTGACGAGGGAAAAATGCACAGGTGTGTTCCCTGAACTCATAGCTGAGTTCCTGTTGACCGCAGAAGGCAGTTGATACATTTTTAGCGATAATTATGGTCAGAAAATACATAATACCAGCAGTTTTATTTTATTGCTATATTTCTGGGACTGTAAGCGCAGGTGAGGCTTCATGCAGTTACGTGATGTGTAGTTTTGTCCAGAGGGGACCGGAAAATGGCTCGTTTCATTTGACGAAAACAAACAAACATCTTTTTAATGTTTTTGATTTGTTTTATCACCTGTTCAGCGTTTTATTGTGACGTTTGTTTGTGTCTTTTCAGTATTTACTGAGCAACTTTTTTATTTCTGTCTTCTTTTTTTTTTTTTCCTGAAGATTTCAGTGGGTTCACATCAACACTGTCCAGGTACTCAGTTGTTAAACCTGAGGTGATTCACAGGTGGACCAGGAGCCTCTACAGACAGCCAGAATCAGAAAAGGTTTGCACTTTTTTATCTATTAAATATTCAGTGTATCATTCATCATCAGCGTTTTTCATTGATCTCTTTTGATTTTTAAATCTTTTCAAGTATGAAGACAGAGTATCGTACGTGCTCGACATCAACAACAAAAGGCACCTTCTTCATCTAGAAAAAAACAGGTAAATCTACAGTTTCACCACAATGACATGTCTGCCAATTCTTCTTTAATCGTAAAATTAAACATACCTTTTTCATGTTTTATCAGAGACTTCTTACACCCAAATTTTATCCAGTATTCACTTGACGCCACTGGTAACTACAGCTCTTTATATCCAAAGCAACATGTGAGTTTTATTGCTCATTTTTTTAATGGTGCTCATTGAAAATGTAACTACTAAACGTGTTCATTTTTCTGCTCTCAGGTGCACTGCTATTACCATGGAAAGGTGGGCGGATATGAAAATTCAATGGTTGCTCTCAGCACGTGCTCGGGCCTCAGGTTTGGACAATTCTTTTTAAATCTTTTGTATTCATCGTTGTGGTTTCCTAATTCCTTGTGCTTTAAATTGAAATGGAGAAGCACATTTGTAGTATTTTTGCATTTAACGATGATAATGATTTACCAAAACAATACAATCATTTTGGAGTCCTCCATTTGAGTAATACAGGAAATAAACTGGGGGTCAACACTTTTTTTTTTCATTAAATACAAAGTGATGAATGCGGTAAATTGTTAAAAACAAATGGAAATGCAACATTTTAAGTCTAAAATATAAAAAAACAAATAAAGAGCTTGAGTCTCAGTGTTTTATATTATTTCTATTATTTCCATGTGTTTCAACACAGCATGATCTCACTGAAAGCTACATAACGTTTTTTCTATGATTATTAAACTCCTATCTTTATTTCCTCTTTTTTTGGGGGGACACATTTGCGAAAAATGATGTCAAACTTTTACTTTGTAGAAATATCTACATGTGTAAATTTATTTTGACATCGTATCGTGACAAAGAATCTGTTGATACAACTGGACACTGGCCATTTTGCCAAGTTGTCTGTTTGGCTGATAATTGTTTTGATAAAGAATTAGGTTTTTTTATTATTTTGTTTAAACTCTCTGCAGAGGTGTCATCTTTCTTGGGAACCAAACATATGGACTTGAACCTGTGACCCACTCTGCCAGTAATGAGCACCTCCTGTACCTCCTGGAGGACTCTCAGACTGAGCCGGTCAGCTGCGGCGTCGTCGGTGAGGCTGCATCCACGCCAAGACATGAACCCTTTGAGCCCAGCGAGTCTTTGACCTCTCTGAGGGTTAGGATGGGTTTTCTCTCTTTTTCTAAAATTTGGAGTGGAAAATTGAAAGTGGGACTCAATTCCTACTGACCTTTTTTTTTTCTTTATACATTTTTTATTTGGTTCGACAGCATAAACGCGCGTTACCTCAAACCAGTTATGTGGAGTTGGCAGTAATCGTCGATAATCTCAGGGTAAATATGTACGCTCTTACCTGTAAACTTGACTGATTTGACTTCATATTTGTTTTATAAATTAAATGTTTCCTTGTTTTTCCATACTCATCCAGTCTAGCTGGGCACCTCAGTGAAGATTAGCTGTTCTCGAAATAAATCAGTTTTTAAGTTTTAACTTATTTGTCAGAAAAGGCATTTTTACATCATGCATCTTGTGTATAAAAACAGCTTTCAATTTAAATAGTCTTTTTTTAACCTTATGTTTCTCTCTGCATGGCTGTTTATATTTGCAAATAACTTTACAAGAGGCAGCACAATTAGACTTTTGTCTTCAATAGATGATACATGTAATAAAAATAATACACAAACTAATGATTGTTAAATTTCCCCAAGGGGATCAATAAAGTGTCTGTCAGTCTATTTACATTGTGTACTATAGTGGCAACATTGGTAAACATTAATGTTAATGATAATTCTCATTTTATCGTGTGAATTCTGTTAACAGTATCAGTATAAGAAGAAAGATGAGGCCGCGGTGCGAGCAGAGGTGGTGGAATTGGCAAATCTAATGGATGGGGTGAGATTGTACATTTGCAAAAACAAATGTCTTATTTTTTTTGGCTTTAATACTCAACTGTGAAATCGAAAACGTGCGAACAACTTTTGTTCCTTTTTCAGTATTACAAGCCGCTGAACATCCGTATTGTGCTGGTGGGCCTGGAAATCTTTAAGGACAGCAATCCCTTTCCTGTGGATGGCACTGCAGGAGAGGTGCTGGGGGCGTTCGCTCAGTGGAGAAAGTCCAGCCTGTTACCAAGAGTCAGAAATGACATTGGTCAACTCATTGTGTAAGTGATGGGTGCTGTTTTATTTTTATTTTATTTTTTTAAAGAAAACAAGACATCAGAAAATATTGATTAATACAGTCTTGCCTAAAGTGTTCCATAAAATCGAATCTTTTGTTGAACTTGTTTGCCAGCGGTCGGGCCAATACGTATGCGGGTGGCGTATTGGGTATGGCGTACGTGGGCGCGGTCTGCTCTGCTGCTACTTCTGCAGGAATTAATGTGGTAAGTTTTACTCCATTCTGACCTTTAACTCCACACGACACCATGACTCTTCAGCAGCCTGAGCTTTTAAATGAAACGGATACTACGTTCATTATTCATCAGGTCGTTTTAGGAGTGCTGCTCGTTGTTACGAGTTCTGAATGACACGCCTGTCAAGCGAGTTAGACTAGAATACAGTTCTAATCGTCTCCATGACAAGCTGCCTTTCTTTCTTTGAGCTTTTGCATTCCTTCGATTTTTGTTGGCCTGTGCGATCCGCTGACAAGTATTGACTTCATGTTGGTAAATTATAGAAACAGGTAAAGCTAGTTTGGACAAATGAGGAGGAGTGGGGAGTGTTTTATACATGCTTGAGGGTTTTGACATCAACCCTCCTGTACTTGTTACAAAGCTTCTAAGATAAAATCTGTCAATCAGTGTATTGAAATAGCTAAAATCTTATCTCTCAAAATATACTTTGTGTTTGTATCAGTGGAGAGGCATCTTCATTGGGTGGGAGTGCCACAAGGATCTGTTTTAATAATTTGTTGTAATTGTTAATTGATGTGTACAGATTGAATGTACACAGATGGCTGTTATGTACACGTGAAAATGGTGCAGACCATGTAGCTGTTAAATTGCCTTACATAATGATGTTTCAGTTTGGTTTAGATCTTCATACCTTACTCGCTAGGATTAGAAGACTGTCATAAAAGGATGGACAGCAAAGAATTTGTTAATGTTTTGTGATTCAACAAAAAATCAACAGTTAAAAAGTTTGGATTTTTCTGGGAAATAAACCGTCTAAACTTGGGGTTAACTTGTTGCAATGTTTACTTCTGGGAAAGTTGTCAATTTTAAGTTGCTATGGATTAGGTTTCTTGGTATAAAATTATGGGTAACTATGAGCCTTCCTGGATTTTAATGGAAATAAACAAACACTTATTAACTTCCTGATATTGTGTACTCTTGCACCTATGTTCAACATTGGCAAAATGCCCAGATGTTTTCCCTTAATAGAAGAACTGGCACTCACTTATGCGGGAGCGATTAAAAAAAACATTCCATTAGCATCTTCAGACTTAAGGTTGTGCTTCGTTTTTCACACTCCCTGCATGTTAGCTTAGTTTTTGTTAAATAAATAATGATGCAGCACAATATGTCACGTGACTTGATGCACAGAATGCTTCAGTTACGCAACGATGTGAGCTTAAAACTGATACAGTTAGCTAACCTGTGTGTTATGTGTTTGAGATTGTCCTGTTTAGTTGTTAAAAACAGAATTCTGCCTCTCTTTTTTTACAGTTCAGTAATGACAACTTGGCTTTTTTCTCCACTGTGATGGCTCATGAGATGGGCCATAACCTGGGCATGAATCATGATGTCAGTACCTGCACTGACGGAAAATCCTGCATCATGTCAGCAGGTGCTAGGTAAAAAAATATGCATTAGTTTTGCACACCTGATGCAAATGCTGTCTATTATCAAGTTGATGCCCCGCAATGGGTGCCAAAATGAAATGGCATCCCCTTTAATTGAAATGTGATAATTAAGCAAAAAAGAAGATGAAAACCCAACACCATTGACAACAAATTAAACTTTATTAGAACTTGTACACCAGTTGAACAGTCTTCATTTTTAATGTGTAATGCATGTGTCATCTAAACCTTGTATTTCTGGCCTTCAGAACACCTTGACACTGATTCTGAACAATTTGCCTTTCCTCCCAGTTTTTCTTAAATGCAAACAAAAGTTTGGTCAAATTGATCCGACAACTCCCCTTGCATGTTAGCATAACATCAGACTGCACATACTGTATCTGTTTAAACTAGAATAAAACAGGATTACTGATATTGCTCTGTCCTTGGCCTTAAAGTGCCTGTGAGATGCATTTTTTTTATTTAAGAAATTTAGCGTAATACAAGTGATTTTACCCATTTTGTCATATAACCAGCATATTTTCTTCTGAATTTGACTCAGCCAAAGTAAAACAGAAAGTGACATCGAAGGGGAAAAGAAACTCCCTGGTCTTTGCTTATTGAAGTAATATCATAAGATCTCTGACTCTTCTTCATCTCTCTGAAATTGACTCAAAGTAATGTAAAGAAAAATCAGATTTTTCTCTACACTTTATCTGCCATTGTAGCAACGCTCTGTTTACATTCAGACATTCCCTTTTGTTCTCCCTTCTTGTTACTTCACATGTAAATATCTCAACTGTTAATCTCGGCAGCAGATTTTTTTAGCAATGTTATCTTTCCAAAAATGCTTTTTTTACTAAACGTTGATGTAACATGCACTTTAAGACTCAAACGTGTTTCCCTTCTACGCTCTTAAGAAATTTTACATTAATAAAGGAATAAATGCTGAATTGGATATATCCCATTTTTCAATAGCGGTGCCGCCACGTTCAGCAGGTGCAGTGAGCAAGACTTTGAGACGCTAATTTTTCGTGGAGGAGGGGTTTGTCTGAGAAATCTACCCTCTCCATCAAACGTGATTGGTACCCCAGTTTGTGGCAACGGCCGTCTGGATATAGGAGAAGAATGTGATTGTGGCACACCACAGGTAAAGTGGTTAAAACCAGAACTAGTTTAAAACTTTGACATAAAATGAGTTAAATCCCATTAGAGATATGAGGTTATTGCATCAATGACAACCTCTGTTGTTGCTTTAAAGTATGGAGACTTGCTTTTTTAAAACTTTTTTTGTAAATGTGTTTTCAAATATGTTAGCTGAAGTTTGTGTAGCATTATATTGATTGTGTATTACTTTTATTACACACAGGAATGCAAAAACGAGTGCTGCGATGCTGCTACCTGTAAACTTACACGTGGCTCCTATTGTGCTCATGGAGTCTGCTGTGAAAAGTGCCAGGTCAGCCAAATGTTTTGATTTCTTGAGTTTCATAGTATTTCTCTGCACTAAAGAAGGGTGTTGAGTTGCTTTGACAAGCTTTTTTTTTTTTTTAGATCAAAGTGGCTGGAACGCCGTGCAGAACATCAGCTGACGCCTGTGACCTTGCTGAGTATTGTAATGGTAAAAGTGAATTTTGTCCCGACGACTTCTACATCATGGATGGACTGCCCTGTCAAGGAAATTCTGCGTACTGCTATGAAGGCCGCTGCCAGACATATGATTACCAGTGCAAGCGTCTGTTTGGAACAAGTATGTTTTTAATTTAACTGAACTGAAAGGTTGTCTTTTTCTTTTTCACATAAACAGTGTTTACCTTCTCTTGTCAGTAAGTTGTTCATCTTCTGATTTCATTTTTTTAAAACAGATTCTGCAACAAAGGCAGCAGATATTTGCTTTCAGTATGAAAATTTAAAAGGAAATGTGTTTGGAAATTGTGGAATCACAAGCAATGGAAATTACATCAAATGTAAACTGGAGTAAGTTATTTGGGTTTTAAGATTTACACACTACATTTATCTTTAAAAGCTGTAAGTGGGAAATTTGATGCTGTGTGTTTGTGGGGGGGTGTAAGTGTGTTATGAYAATGTTACATTTGTTTTCATTTCTTTTTGCCTTTGGCGGCAATTACAACCTTGAGTCTTTGTGTTTAATGCATCAGGTTTTGCACTCTTGGATTGGGAGGGTTCAGTTGTTTTTTTGCAAATCATCTTAAGCTCAATAAGTTGGTTGGGCACTGCTGATTGACAACCATTTTCAGCCCCCTCTAGAGATTTGATTGGGTTTATGTCAGGACTCTGGCTAGAACAGAGGAGTCCAAAGTGGGGCCCGCGGGCCAAATTTGGCCCACCAAGCCATTTGATTTGGCCCACCATCAGTTGCCAAAGTTACAAGGTTGTAACCTGTTATAGGTAGAAACACAGAATTTCCATTGGTCAAATGACTACCGGTATATAAAAGGGCTGTAGTGAAGGTAGTTTTCATTCATGGTGCTGACATATCTTTGATTTATTAGGATTAAACAAGAAACATGAAAAGACAAGAAATATTTAGATCAGATTTAACCCCACATGTAGATTTGTACACTTTATAAGGCCACAAAAACTCATATTTTATCTATTTATGATATGTCCCATGAGCCTTTGCTACTTGTGCGTATGGCAGACTTTCTCCAAGCGCTCAGACTAAAACAAAAGAGGGCCATTGCACAGCTTAATGGTTAAAAATAAAGGACTTTACTTAAAAAAGTATTTGTATTTCATGTATTATCTTACTGCATTTGGCCTGCAGCCCCCGATAGATTTTCATTTTGGCCCCCTCGGGGAAAATGTTTGGGCACCCCTGGGCTAGAACATTAACAGTTTGTCCCTAAACTATTAAGCTGTCATCTTTCCTTTAACTTTTAAGTCTCCCAGTCGTCGCTCGTGAAAAAATTCCCCCACAGCATGATGCTTCCACCACCATGCTTCACTGTGGGGATGGTGTTGGGGAAAACAGAAATTGGTTTCAACTTGGGATGTATTTTTTTATGTATTGAACTCACTGGAACTGACCTGTGTTTCAGTAATGCGATGTGTGGAAAGCTGCAGTGCAATGTGGATGTTTCTAACCAGCCGACTGGTGCCCAAATCAGTATTGAAATAGTCCAAGGATCACGCTGTGTTAACGCCGACTTCAACCTTGGCACAGATGTGCTCGATCCAGGCTACATTAAACCTGGCAGTCCTTGTGATAAAGGAAAGGTAGTGGTGGGAAATATTCTGACAAATATTTTTTTGTGAAAATGAAATGCACAACCATCTTTGTTTACTTCGAGGTTTGTCTTTTCCTGTAGACCTGTTGGGAGTTCCAGTGTGTAAATGCTTCAGTTCTACTGCCCAACGTCACTTGTGATGCCATCAGCACCTGCAATGGACGAGGAGTAAATATGCCTTTTAAATTTTTTATGTAGTTATTTAGTAGCAAATTAAGAATAAGCATGACCTTTTATTTTCTATCTTCTGTAGGTTTGTAACAATCTTGGTCACTGTCACTGCAACGACGGTTGGCGCCCACCTTACTGCGATAGATCAGGATCAGGTGGCAGCATTGACAGCGGCCCTTCTCAAATAGGTACTTTTAAAGTCTTAAGTACAAGGAGGTTATTATCTCTCTGCTATACAGTTTATCAAACTCCTCAGACGTCTGGGTTCTGCATCTTTTTATCACTTCAAATAAACTCATTTATGGTTGCATTTATATTCTTTAGAAGACAGGTTAGGAGAAGAAATATTAACATAATTCTGTTGGAATGCAGTTTTTATATTCTAAATCAATGCATTATATTTACAGACTACTCCCTCAGGAACGGCCTGTTGATCTTCTTCTTGTTGGTGAATCCTGTTCTCGTGGCTCTTATTCTGGTGCTCCTCTACATGTTCAAAAGGGATTCTTTGGATGTTTGCCTAAAGCCAATAAAGAAGTATTAATCCATTTTTAAAATACCTGCTGGTTGTTTTATAAAAACTGTTTTACATCATTTGATATGTTTTTTTTATTTTTATTTCTCTCGCTAGACAACGTAATTCAAGTGATACAAATGGCGGTGCTCAGACAAATACCACATTAGAGACTCCTCCACAGGTTCTTCCTGACAAGGTAAATATGTATTTGTAGATATTCATCACACCCAGAAACAGTTTAGTCTTTGTCTGTTTTGGACAACATTTTAATTATTAAACAAAAATATCACATAGTTTGAAAATGTTTAGTTTTCAGTATATCTTGAATTTCTTCTCTGTGATTTATATATTTTTAATTTTATTTTTTTGTCTTTCTTTCTCCAGCCTCCAGGTCCACCAGTTACTGCAGTTCCAATTTCAGGGTAGGAACGCTTTGTTTTAAATTTTATAAAATGCTAATTTTTTCTTTTTTATCTCTAGTCATTAAAGCACCCAAAGTACATTTTAAATGGGTGTTTAGGTTTCACTGAATTTAAATGGTTTATTTAATATTTTTTACAGTTTCAGGTATGGCGAACTGGACTATTGGAATCTAGAAGAAAAAGACCCCCCTGCTAGACCACCACGTCCTGTTCAGGGCCCGGGTGTTCCGAAACCAATCCCTTCAAATCAAGTGCGGACTTGATGTTCGTTTTTTTTATAGTCCTTGAGCATTTAAATGTGTGTACCTGGTTTTTGTTACATTCTAAGGATATTTTCTAGTATGATCACCCACCTTGTCAAGACCATTAGTCCCAATGGAGACCAAAACCTGGTCCTAATACAATGGAAAGTTATTTTTTGTATTAGGGGTTAGGTTTAAGGCTGAAGTGAGGGTACGGGCGTGTGGGTTTGTGTGAGTATAAGACAAGAGACTCTTCTAAAACACAGACTATGACACTCACTGTAACTAAGCACTGTAGTGTGGGATGTAGTTTTATGGTGGCGGTTAATATTTATCAGAATATGGGTTTTATTTGATCCTTTCGTTTCACTTGTTGAAAATGTCTACACAAACTACAAAATTTAACATACAGCATTTAATGTTTTTATGCCATTTTTCTAAGTATTTTAGAACATTTTTTCGTTGTGAGTGATATTGTATTATTGTCATATCAATTATAATAAAATTGTTGGTTTTAATGTACAAGACACAATTTGTCAGCTTCGCCCATATGGTCAAATTTGAAGCAGGAATGGGCACAAATAAAGATAATGTTTTTGAAACTAACTAGCTGTTGTGTGGATTGTTTAAATTTGTTAATTAAGGTTTTTAGCTATTTGTTTGAGAACAAAACCCTTTAAAAAATAAGAATTACACATACTTGTATTGCAAAACAAAATGTAAAAGAAATGGTGTCAGAACTACGTGTGAAACTATTTCGTTGGGGAAATTGGAAGTAAAATGTTTTGCGCTAGAAAATCTAGAATAAAATGAGAGGTTTCGGGAGTTTTATTTTGAAAATATAAATTCCGGAAATCACGTGGTTTTGTCACGTGTTGACGCGGAAGTGTGATATACGCCCCCAGCTCTAACAACATGTAAATAACTTAGTTTTAGGTGGCTTTGTAGCTAAAAATGTCTGTAGCAGCAGTTGACCAGAGGGTCGTGAGGGCTCCGGTGAGCCTGTGCGTCCTCTGCGGGCTGCCCGCCGCTGGGAAGTCCACCCTGGCCCACCGGGTCCTGGGTGCCGCCGCAGAGTTTGGATGGAGAGCTGCTGTGGTGCCATATGATGACCTGATCCCTGAGCAGGCTTTTCACACTCAAATTGTGGAGCATGGTGTCGAAGTAGAAGATATGGTACAAGCTCAAACAATAAACTTTTATTTTGAGATCAGGATATTTTAAAGACGTTGTTGTTGTTGTTGTTGTTGTTGTTGTTGTTGTTGTTGTTGTTGTTGTTGTTGTTGTTGTTGTTGATTTGTTTTTCTGCATTACTTTGCAACAACCAGTCCAGTGTGAGGAAAAAAGAAACAGTTTTGCTCAGGCTGCCCTTCTAGTAATATTGTGCAATTTATTAGTGACCAAATTACTATAAACATAAGAAGCCTGAAATCATTTTTAAAATAAATTTATTACAATCTGTATTTGTTGTTAAAAATTAAAATGCTGAAAGATACATTGCAATAATGTGCTATAATGATCGGAAGGCGTAATGTGATTCAAAGAGTGTTAAATGTGGAGCAAAAGGCGATAATGACATATTTCAGTATGAAAAACAAAAGCACAAACATTTTCAGTGCTTCTGATTGTAATTAATGTAATTATTATGGGGTCTGTTTTCATTTCCAGCACTCAAACTGGAAGTCCCACAGACAAGCAGTGTTGCACAGCATTGAGCAGTTCTTGCAGAGACCCGAAGTGGCAACAAAGCTCCAGATCAGCTCTCTGATCAACAGCACAGCCTGGCAACAATGTACTCAAGCGATGCTGCGGCCTGAAGATTTAAAGTGTGACGGGACGCCACTTCTCTTCCTGCTAGATGACAACTTCTTCTATCCAAGCATGAGATATGAAGTGTATCAACTTGCAAGAAAGTGTAAGTTCTCTTTGTCCACCAATTAAGCTTTGGATTATTTTTTTTTACTTTTGTTGAAATGTTGATTTAAAGTTGTTTAATCTCGTTTTAGGTTGTCTGGGCTTCTGTCAGGTGTATCTACATTGTGATTTAGAGTCCTGCATTAGCAGAAACTCTAGCCGGTCTAAACCCGTTCCTACTGAAGTCATACTGGAGATGGAGAAGCGTTTGGAACCTCCAAATCCACAAAAGAACTCGTGGGAAATGCAAAGCATCTCACTCGACACAGCAGACGGCGTGTCCAAATGTGACGTGTAAGACAGCTGAGTAAACCCTTATTAAGACCTAATAATTGATTTTGATTGCTTTTATCTTTCTTTTTTTTTTCTTCTTATGTGTTGTGTCATTAGCCAGAAAGTGATGGAGTTGATTTTTTCAGCCCTGAAAAATCCTCTGAGCCAACTAGAAGACAACACTGAACAAAAGGTAGCTCAAATCTCAGACCCGTAACAATAGAATTCATCTGTGGAGCTGTGAAAGTGAACAGCTTCATGCTGTTTCGTGCCGTCATCCGTGTTGCAGGAGGCCGATCGTCTTAAATGCGCCACGAGCGTGGTCCACCAGGCTGATCGGGCCTGTCGACGCCTCATATCTGAAACCATGAAGGCCGCCAGAGGTCAGCCGTCAGCTTCACATCTGCTGCATGTTTCACACTCGGTCACCTGTCAGAATGACGACTTTCTCTTCTGGTTGTTAGATAATCAAGCCCCCTCTGACCGCATGCGCCTCATGGCTGCTCAGCTGAATGAAGCTAAAGCGACGTTCCTTCACAACCTTCGGCAGCGGTTCCTACAGGAGGCGCCGTTCTTTCAGGAGGAGGACATTGACGCCGAGCAGGTGGCGAAACGAGCAGTGCGAAGCATTTTTGATGACCAGAGGAAAGATATTGCATCGAGATTTATAAATAATGGTGAATGACTTGAAGTCTTTAAAAACAAAACATTTCAAATTTATAAGTTTAGCATTTAATGCATACTGCCTGCTTTCATGCCAGAGTTTGAGACGAAAATCATTATATTCTGAGCTGTAGCCTTTTTATCAAAACCCTAASTTACATCAAATGCCAACTCATATAATACCTCACATGATCTGCTAGCATATCTATTGTACTATCACATCAAATTTTAGCTAAACATCTGYAGATATCAAAGGGGTACAGCCATTCTTTTGTGTAGATCCAAAATGATAAGCTATTGTGACCATGTTGGTTTGTGTTGACACCAAAAGATTATCGGTTATAGTTGTACAGCCAATAGTTACTTTCTGAAAAATTCATCGGAATACGGTTCAGTGGTTTGGGAGATATTTTGCTAACACATCAGGGTTGATTTAATAATTAATACCAAAGATGTCTTAAAATGTGTTCAAAGTGTGTTGGAGGCAATGCTCCGCTACTGCCACACCAACTTGTAGCAGCTAGCTCAACGTCTGGAAGAATTAGCTTAGCGTCATTTTTCACCTTTGGCAGCAGGTGATAAAATTCCATCCCAGTGTACACATCGGTTTTATTATGCAAGTAAGAATTTGCCTTTTTTTGTTTTTGTTTMTTTATTTGACCCCCATTAGCATCAGCAGCGTGTTGCATCAGCTTTTTTTTCCTTTTGAGTTAGCAGACRGCACGAACGTGTGAAACAAACTCAAGAAAACACATTTTCTTAATTTATTAAATAAAAGTTTTTAGAAAACGCACATTGTCGTTCAAGTTCACTTCATACACCGACGTGGTGTCTAAAAAAAACAACAGGAGAAAATCACCTACAGTTTTTGTTTTCTCGTAATTATCTACAACTTCTCCCTTTTGGACAGCAATCGTACAAATCATTGTTACCTGACGTTACATGTGACAGTGTAAAAGTTACTCCAATTTATATATTCCAGCATCTGCTACCAAACAGTAGGTGGCTAAAATGAATTTAGATTTGTTTTTTTCCCYCCAAACAGGCAGGTTTAGTTCCACAAATCTACTTCAATAAATAGTGGTTAAAAAAGCCTTTAAGTTTCTTACATAAACTCAGGATATAATATTTTAGTACAGCTACCATGTAACTGAAGTCAATATCAAAACAGAGATTCAAACAAGTCTAGCTGAACTTTGTCCATCTGAATGTCCCACTCAACTTTCTCCCAGAGAAATGCATCCGATTAAACTAAATGCAACTTGGATTTGTTATTTGAGCAAAAAGGAAGCTAAGTGCACGCATGGGTTTTCTGTCACCGACCAAACATATCCATGTTAGGTTAAATAATAACTCAAAGTCATCCATAGGGCACTGTTTAGGCAAGTGTGTGAATCATTGGGCCTCATGCAAGAACCGTTCGTACGCACAGATTAGTTCTTAAGTTGTGCGTACGAGTGATTTAGGAGAATTTGTGGCATTCACCAATGTTTTCGTATTCTAAGATTTTTTTCAGATACGAACAAAATTTACGAGTGGTCCAGACCTGTCATATATTTTACGAGCAGTCAGTCTGCTGTTATCCAGACGGGTTTTCCTCCCTATATAATAACTTTACATTTTGTTAGTTTGAAGATATTTTGAGTTGAAAATAAATCAAACTCCATAATCATGTTGACAATAG